GTATCGAAAAAATATCGAACCGTGACACCAAAGTATCGAACCGAACCGTGAATTTTGTGTATCGTTGCACCCCTACTTTGTAGATAATGCTACCAGGATGCTCAGTGTATATTCTTTACATACTGACTCTCACGCACAAAAAAACCCACAATATTATTAATAAGTGCAAATACCTGTTAAGGACTGATGACTTTTATAAACATCTCTAAAAAGTTGTGTAACAGGTATAAATGGAAAGGATTAGAAAGATTGTTAATGAACATACTCAAACTGAATCCAATTACTCACTGTCAGACAAACCTGACTCTTTCAGTTATTGCTTTGGGTTTGCAGCGCATTATTGGCAGAAACCTCTGTATAGCTCCTGCCCAGAAACACTAGACAAAAGACAGCCTATAACCCCAGTTCCGAAAAAGTGTGGATGCTTTGTAAAATGGAAATAAAACCAGAAAGCAATGATTTGCAAATCATAAAACCAATGTATTTTTCTCAAAATTATTTAACCTGAAATAAAAAGGTGCAAGAAAAGCCAGAAAGAGCATCTTAGAGATGCAGACCTTCTCAGAAACAAAGGAGGGCTGAGGTTTGCCAATCTACATAAACCTGGATCTAAAAAATGTGGAACATGTTCCTGAAAATAAAATGAAAGTCTTTATATAGCTCAGCCTTTACAGTATATCATCAAAGGATTTAGACAACCTGGAGAAATCTCTGTGCACAAGGCCAAAAATCAATATTGGATGCCCTCAGGTGGCATTCTCTGTGAATACAGTTCGCTGTGCTATCCACAGCAAACAAGCGGAAACTCTATGAGGCAAAGAAGAAGCCAAATGTGAACATGATCCAAAAGAAAATGCCACTATCGTTTGGCCTAAGCTAATTTAAAATCGACTGAGGCAAAGTAGAAAACTGTTCTGTGGTCAAACAAATCGAAATTTGAAATTGGATTTGGAAAACATGGTGCCGGATCCTCTGGACTAAAGAAAAGAGAAATCATCTGGCTTGTTATCAGAGTTTTGTTCAAAAGCCTGCATCTCCGATGGTATAATGGTGCATTATTGCCATGGATTCAGCAGTTTGCACATCTGGAAAGTGTAATACTGATTTTTAACGCACCAATACTACTTATTGTGCTCTATTCAGTTTGAGCACTTAAAGCATTTTCTTACATGCCTCATTCCACACATATACATGTGCTTTTATCTAAGCCTAAACACTTTTTACCTAATGTTCACACACTCTTACTTTGATACTGCATTTATTTCAACAGTAAGGCTCATAGAGTCTGTGTGCTGAACTTGCCTGCTTGCAGTTCAGATATTGTACAAATTGAAAATATTTGGTGCATACCACAAATGAAAATACCACACATGGCTTCAATATTCAAGCAACTAGTCTACTCAGTTCCCACATATATAAGCTTACATAGTTACAAACACTGTCCCAACTTCTGAGACATGTTGCTGCCATCAAATTCCAAATTCCTTTTTATTTTTACCTTAAAGTTTTAGTTTTTATTTGCATTTTATACAGTGTCCCAAGTTTTTGGAACTGGTGTTGTAGTTAATAATTCTTGTGTGTGGTAGCAGGTGTAGAAGTAAAGAGATGGAAACTTAATAGGTAGATAACTCAGGGTAAGCCAAAGGGTTACCTCACAGCCTGAGGCCTCAGGGGGCCACAGGTCCAGTCTGGATGGGTGTAAACTTTTCATACTGCATGGGCTAACTAGCAGGGAAAGGGGAGCTGGCATAGAGAGCCAGTGTGGGGCTCTCTCAAATAGCTGAGGAGGAAAAAAGAAAGTTACAAACTGTCATTATCTGCAAACTAAAAACACAGCAGCAGCTGAATGATCGAACTCAATTACTGTTGAGTCTTTACTCTATTCAGTTTCAGCAGGTCATCTCTAACACAGTCCAAGCAGCTATCAGGATCCATCTGTCTGGCTGTGATCTGTGAGCCCTGGGTGATGATGTGTGTGAGTGAGCAGTATGTGATCTTTGGGCTCTCACAGTGCCAGGGGCTGGGGACATATGGCACCTGCTGCTTGAACATGTGGTAATGAGGGTGAGCATATCTGAACAGACATTGTCTGCCTGTGTGCACACAAAGACTTGCTCCAAATTGTGGACGTAACATGAATACTAAAAACATTCCTTTTGGTTTTTTTTAATGAACAACGGACTATTGGGGATATTATTAACCTTGTGTTTTCTTTACCTCCAATTCGGCAGCAATTTTCTCCCCCTCTCCCTCCTCTTTGTCTTCAGAAGCCAGTGTGGGAGGTGTTGATGACGGACGAGGGTTTTCGGACACGGTCCTCCTCAGTTTTATGTGAGGCTTCTGTCCCTCTGTCTCTTCAGATTCAGCCTTCTAGGGCCACAAGAACAAAAAGGGGTAAGAACTTGTCCAAAGCTGGTGTGAGAAGCTTGCAATTTTGTCTTAAATATATCAATAGGGGAATTTTAATATGATGACTTGTAGATTTGAGAATTAAAGTGTAAAGTGTAAGTGTAAAGTGTGCGTGTTAGTCCCCATAGGGAAATAGTTCCTCTGCATTTAACCCATTCACCCAGTGAAGCAGTGGGCAGCCACCAGTGCAGCGCCCGGGGAACACTGGAATTGTTAAATGCACTATTTTTTTCCAGTTACCTTTATGCTTTTTCCAGGAATTAGTGGCTCCCCACTGCGAGTGGTCACACCGGGAGATGAGGGGAAACTGCGTCTAGGCGGTGGAGGTGGAGGGGACTTGGAGGGTTTCTCTGTGCGATACCGAGGTACTGTCAGCTCATCTGAAAACACAGTAACATGTCATTAGAAAGAATTATTACATTATTAACACAACACTTTTAAAAACAATATCATGCCAATAAATCCAATTCAGCTTATGTATGGAGGAGTAAAGGTGAGGCTTTTAAAAATATGATCACTGTATCAACTGTAAAGCTTGGTGGTGGTAGCATCATGCTCTGGAGCTGTTTTGCTTCCAGTGGTACCAGCACATTGCACAAATCCACAGCTAGAGACAACTGGGTGTTCCAACAGGACGATGACCTCAAACGTGCATCAAAACTGGTTTTGTAGTGGATAAAACATTAAGCTTCTGGAATGGCTTTCCCAAATCTTTAAACTCAAAGAAATGGAAATTGAAAATTTTAAGCCAGGTCTGTGGCAAGAAAAAAACCCATTTGAAATAAACTCTATCAGTTCTACCAAGAGGGATGGCCAAATATCCAGTCAGAATTACACCATATGGTATGCTTTACATACTTGTTGATGGCTACAACAAGCATAAAGTTGAACTGCAACTTTTAACCTTTAAAAGGAAAATTAACAAGTATTAGTGGAGTGTTTGTATATAACTGAGTATGTATATTTAATTCTGACCCTGTGTGAGGGTCAAAATACATTCAAATTAGATTCTTTAAGTCATTAAAGATGTATACTCTTCAATCAATCAACCCTGGAAAAAGAACAGTTTAAAGAAACAATTAAAAGCCCCAAATTACTATAATGTAAGTACAACCGTATGTTTTTAACATGCAGTTTAATAAACCGATTACATAACAGGGATTGTTTATTGAAGAATTAAAAATTAGATTCATTTAAAAAAAATAAATGGATGCCATGAAACAAAACTCTGATCTATCATACTAATGCAGCCTGAGCCTCATCTCACCAGAGCCACGCCTGGACCCTCCCTCTTTCCCAGAAAGCTTGTGCTGGGGCTTGTTGGCACGGTGGTCTGGGGTCGCTGCCCCACTCTGGGGGGTCTGTGTTGATGGTGTGTTGGAGGAGGGCTTAATCTGCTTGGCAGCAAAATCCAAATCTGGAATAGCCTTCATTAGTTCAGCCTGGGTCTCTTCCAACAAACGGTTGATGTCCTGAGCACTGTACTGGGTTAGACTGGCCCGCTTCTCCTCCCAGTCCCGCTCTGCTGCCTGTGAAGTTGAGAGGTGGATGTGAGCAGTGTATGAACACAAAACTATAGTCATGCCTCACTGGTTTATTGGTTTGCATCACAAAGTATTTACAGCAGATGGTGAAAAACACGTAAATAAACAACAGAAATAATCCCTACCAGTCGGACCTCCATGGACAAAGCTTTGTCAGCAGCAGCACGACGCTCAAGCTCTTCCAGAGCTTTGCCCTTGTGGGGAACAGGAGGATGATTATCCTTGTGAAGGCCGGATGGGTTGCCATGTCCACGGCTGAGGCTGGTGTGAGGGCTCCAATTGGACAAGCTGTTGCCTCCCCCGAGATCATTGATGGTGAGCGGTGGGCTGGTGGGGATTTCAAAGTCTGCAAACTTTCGCAAGTCCTCGTTGTGCTTGGATGATGAACTAGTGAAGTCTTCTTGCTTCTTCCATACTCCCTCATTTGCTTGTCTAGCAAGACAGAAGAAGAATTAATTAATCAACATTTTTAAATGTAACATAAACAACAAACATGTATTATACAGATCTCGAAATGAAAAAGAATTGCAAATGCTAAAAAAAGACCCCAAACACTAAACGCTGAAGGATAAAAACTTCCACTGCTACTGAATGCATTTGCCAACTTACTGCTACCCAAAAGATGAAAGAAAAGAGCAACATTAGATGAGCTCTTTTATCACTGAGATTAATTAAGCCTGAGAGTGAGGCGCTTTTTGGACACAGGGCTGATTAGGAGATAGACAATGGCATGCTGAAGGAAAAAGTCCTTCAACGTCCTCTAGTCTATACTAACCGCAAAATTAAAACTGTTACTCATGTGACTAAAAAGGACATTCATCAGTGTGACATTCAATAATGCCAATTAAGTACAACAATACTGGAAGCTTGACTACACACTTAAATACTGCTTTTCTTCACACTTGATGGATTTAAATCACTTCTATATCTCTTAATGAACTCAGAACTGTGACTTAAAACAGCAAATGTTTAAGCATGAAAGTTTCTGATCTGGATCAACAACATTATCTAATAAATTTTCTTGGTCAAAGGCCTCTCTCACTGCCTCATTTATGAAAATCCATAATGTTCTGCTGACACACCAGCACATAGGGGTGAAAACATTATGCCTTTGGCAGAGGTGCAAATGGAAAAACTGGGCTGACTGGAATTGATTACAAGTGGATACAGGTCAGTCAGTGTTCGGCATATTTAACAGCTTTCAGATCATACTTAAGAGCTTAAGAATTTACTGGACAAGTGCTTCCTTGTCGGTATTTAAATGATTATTAAAATCTCAAACTCAGTGTAAAGACAGCTATTAGACTTTAATGTTGTTTTTTTACTGGAATACAAACAACCAAGTAGGCATTGTTGTGCTAGGTCATACTTGCGCATGGTAGCAAGGGTATCAGTTATAGTCTTGCATCGTTTTAACAGGGCATCAAGTCTGTGTGGCTCTTCCTTCAGGAACTTGACAGCTTCCACCTCCACCCGGAGCACCACCCGCATCTTGCTCTGCAGACCTGGAAATTGATCTTTAGGGGAAGGCAACAGATTAATACAGGGAGCCAACTGTGATCACACAAAAAATATCTATTACATTTGTCCAAAATGTTTTGTGGTAGGCAACCATAACCTTTTTCAATTTAGGTAAATGGTCACTGAGTTCATTGAGACAATGAGTAATCTTAGGGTGATTAAGTGCTACAGATTGGCTGTTCATGACTACAAGTTAGTCAGTGCATTGATGAGTAACTAGGGCGTTATAAATGGTCTGCCAGCATAAAGGGCTGTGTTTTCCTTTTTGCGCCAGTGTACAGTGAATCCACCAGAATGACTCACTTTTCAGCTCCGTGAGTGTTTCTCCCAGCTTTCTCAGAAGAGTGGCCTTCTCCTCCAGCTCCTGCACTGTCACCAGCTTGTGGTTGACAGACGACTCCTTCTGGATCTCCTCCACCGACTTCTCCAGGTCGCTGAGATGGAACAGACAGAAGGCTGAACACCAGGGATTCCTCCACCACACTTAGATTCGACTGAATATTTATCTCAAAATCGTGATATTCATGTTTCAGCCATGCTTTTGCCAATAAACTGTCTCTCAATCAACTGGGAACTAGATCAACAGTTTGGGCAAGCTGAACTGGACGAGGTACAGATTAGTTTTCGAAAGTTTCATGCAGCAACTGAAGTAAGAAACTTTTAAAATAGCTATATAATATGATGCCTTCAAGAAAACGTAAACTACGCAAATATAAATTCATTAAGCGCTAATGTTGAGTTGATCTAGTCTGGTCCTCAAGACATATGATGAATAAAAATTCAGTGTATAATTAATCAAAATAATTGGCTGCCACTAGCCAGGAAAAGTACCAGACATCGATTAGCAGGGATCATCTAACAGTTCAACTAATTATTCTGAAATCCAAGTGCAGAAACGAGTGACATTCAATAAGTCTTCTTCGACTCACAGAGCGATCCAGCAAATTTCCACATACAAGACTGAAGCAGGTTATCTGATTATTAAATCTCAAGGTAGCTCTTTGCTCTCATTTTGCAGTCAGTTTAATTAGTTGTTGGACAGTCGTGTAACTCAGATCTTAATAAGCATCTTGCTCTGTGCCGGGCTTAATTATAGCGACAGCTTTATCCTATCAGTGTGTTGTAAAAGAGACATGAATTTTGCTATGTCTGATATAATTATAAAATACAAGTTAAAACGCATCTTAAACTACACAAATGTCAACCAGTATTCACCTACAGCACAGATTGCATTCATAGATTCTTCTATATTTGGAACCCCCCCTTTTTTTTTTAAATTATCACTGGTTTCTATCATCAAGCGTGTACTGCTCAACAACTGTTATACACTGCACTGCCAAGAAACAAATCGTGTACTGTAACTGACTGGAGTTGCTGAATGATGAGCTCCTCCTCGTTGAGATATTTGAGTCTTTCTTCCTCCACCAGGAGGCGCTGCCTCTGGAGAGGATCCTCCTGTTTCCTCAGGGCATCAGTCACACGCACGTTCAGCTCCGCCTCTGTCCGCTTCAGCAGCGTTCGCACTGAATCCTGGTTCTCTAGCTGCATGAAAAAAAAGCCACACGTTAAAAAACAACATCACAGAAATACACGTACACTCAGCAAATATTTGGAAATTAGCTGTGGGAATGTTAGCCTTCTTGGTCTTTGGAGCATTGCTTGCTGGCGTTATGAAAGCTGCTATTTCATTTATCACAAAAATACTATCGCATTAAGGAGGAGAACTGGAGCTGACTAAGGCTTTACAATGAAAACTTCAGCGATTTGCAACAACTGCACACCTTTTTCTACCTTGTCCTTGAGGGGTCAGGTTCTCTGGCATCTTTACTCCATGACCTTCCACATGAGAAGAACACTTAACTCTGTCCTTTAATGTATATTAATTTTCCAGTCAATATTAGTGAGTTTTAGCCTTCATGATGTAATGAACAATATGTTCTTGAAACCACTGTGAGATGCAGCCAATACTTCGCTTTCTGCTGTCTGTATTTGCATTAGCACGTGCACACAATATTGTTCTAAACACAGAGGGCTGAAATACCCCGAGGAAAATGAAACAGATGCACCAAGCATGAACTCCACTTGCTTTCAGTGTTATGAAAGGAATATTCTACAGGACTATGCATGTAACACAACTCCCCAAGATGAAATCACCTAGTAAGCAAGAAAAAATGAATAATTGATTATTCTTTTGTTCCAGGAAGTGAAGCAAGACAACAATATCGCTAACATTTATAATTACCCAGTATTCCCTGATATACTGCCAGCAGCAGTGATGTAGATGCATGAGGCCAAAAGCAAGGAGTACAGTAACACATTAAAGAAAAATGTTTAATGCATCAAGAGAAATAGCATGCTCTGCTGCCTCTGTCTTGCTCAGTTGCCTGTCTCTACTTTACCCTCTTGCATAATTCATTCACATGTAAAATTAAAGCTGTTGGCCATCGGCACGGGCAGCAATATAGGCCCAGGTGCAGAGGTCACACTTGGGCACACTGACACGCAAACAGCAAACTGTTCTCTCTTCGGTGCATCACAACCATTGGTGTTTGGCTCGCCATCTCACTGTTTCGCTAGTTGAAAGCAGCCTTGCAACTGCTCTTACGGAACAAATAAAAGCACCACATGCCTATCATCTCTCACTTCCATTACTCAATTTTTCACTCCTTTTCCTGCAAGAAACTTCACTCCTCTGAAAGTGAGAGCATTTATCTCATCTCTTTCTAATTCCTCCTGCAGTAACCATGGCACCACTTCAAGCGGAGGTAAATGAAACGCAGACAGAAAGGACTTAATTTCCACATTTCCAACTCTTCTTGTGGCTTTCTGTCTAATTCTGCATCTATCTCGACAGGTCTAAGGAGCGAAACGGAAAAGGATGCTCCAAACAAATGCTACTAGCACATCATTCACGCTGATCAAGATAATGCCAGTTCGCTTCAGTAAAAAATGGGTTTATCTCAACCCAGAAACAGTGTCCTCGTTTCTCTAAATAATCTACTCAGCATGCTGTCAACACTCTTCCTAAGGACTACTTCTTCAGTAGAAACTTGTTAATAACAACTGCTCACAAGACTGTGTAATATGCAGAGTCATCAGTAAAGTGTCTCAGGCGAGGCATGCTGCTGCTGATTTTTTTAGAGCGTACATTTGCAAAGCCTTGAGCAACACATACAAATACAAATAACCATTTGCATGTTATTAGGGTAGAGGTGGGGGTGTTAATAATTGTTCACCTTTTACAATTTGTTTTGATGAGTTATACCACTGTCACAGTGAATTTACATTTCAAAATATCGCATTAATATCAGATGTCTGGTTCTTTTTATCCTTATTACATATTTATATGCATTTGTTTTTCTGCTGTGCAATAACAACAATATAACTAACAAAAAAGATGAAAGAAAACATTATTTTCCTCCATAGGGAGGAGGACTAGATGTGTCCAGATAAATTTTATGTAGTTCTTACATAGTGGGATTCATTACACAACCACAGAGAGCTCGGTTCACAAACACAGAGTGCCATTGGCAGCTACGATAATCATTTAGATGAGACAGGAAACATTAAATATAAACTCGAATATCAAAGGTATATTTAGGAAAACAAACGGTGTTCGTAGAGCTAGACAATAACCAGTTTTCTAATCTGAAAGGACAAACCAATTAAAAACATTTAATGGTGGATATTAAATACCTGGATCTTGCGTAGCTGGTTGAGCTGTTTGCGCAGGTCGCTGGCGTTTTGCTGCAGACCGTGAAGATGGAGCTGCATCTGCAAGCGACCAACGCTGTTCACCTGGATTGAGTTAGAAGGTGGCGGCGGCATCAGAGCTAGAGGTGCCGACGGTGTATTTGCTGCCAATCACAGAGCAGGAAACGGGGGTCACCGGGAGGTCGTTGGGAAACAAAGCGGTTAGTTTGTTGGGTTATGCTCCGGTGAGAGTTGCAGCCAGCCAGCATCACACAGTAAAACAATAACACAAATACACACTTGCCATAAAGGCCAAAAAAATTACATATACAGAAACTCTGGGCGCGCACACACACAGAGGATATAGTGTGTGAATACAAAAAAGTCCCATATTCACAAAACTCTAATTGCCCAGTGGGAGAAATATGAGCTCATGCTATTAGTAACCCATAGAGAAGTGCAATTAGTCTATTCAGCAGTGACACACAGGGATAACCATGCTCTTATCTGAACATAGGCCTTTGTGAGTATGGTCATTGACCCACCAGATATTCTACCACATATTCACACACCCTCACAAAGGAGTTTTCCACTGTGTGCCAGAAGAAACCTCTGAAATTCGCAAAGGAATAACCAAGCAGAAATTTAAAAAGTAGAGACAGACAGAACGAGGGGAGTCTGCGTTCTGGGAAAGCAACCAGGAGATAAATAGGAGAATATACACTGCCAGCTACCCAGCAACACCACACACCCATACAGAGGTCAGGGAGCAATGAGAAATGTCTGGAAGGAGTAAAAGGGTGATAGAGTAGGAGATGGAAACTACCTTTCTTCTTCTGTCGTCCGGCTGGAATATAGAAAGAGTGAGCCAGTTACCAAGAAATTAATGAGTAGCAGAGAGACAAAGAGGGAGAGGAAAGTTTAGATTTACAGAATGGTGATCCCGGAGAACATTTTATTGACTATAGCAGAGACAATGGCTGTGATGATGGCATAAGTCTTATGGCAGTGATCCAATGCATGAGGAAGCTTCAAAGATAACAGGGTTATAAAATTATGGAGAGACAGGAATGACTGTACAGTATCAAAGGGATGCATCCAGTGTACCTATCGGAGTACAAAAGCTGAAAAGCTCCTGTCAGTATTTAACAAATTCTATGATAAAATATTTATTTCTTATATAGAATATCTGATATTTTGAAAAATACCTTTGAACACAAAATTGAATTTACATGCCGCCAGAAGAGACAGTCACAAGTGAAGGAATAAACCTTCCAAAGACTTCAAAGCTGTCTTATTTCCTCTTTCTGGAGGTTATGTTTACAATTTGGCATCTCAGTTTATTTAACACATTTCACGAGCTGTCACCAGGTATATTTTTCAATCTCTGACAGATCCGTCTAGCATTTCGCCTCTGCTTTCCTGTATTTGTACTTAGCAATGCAAAAAAAACTTTGCGGTACAATCTCAAAAGAACCAAAGAGTAATTTTCTCATCTGACCGAGCTTTAACAATTCTATTAACCCGATTTGATGCTTGATTTGATGCTTAATTTTGATTATCAAATGATATATTGGACATTTTAAATTAAACTCTTCCACTTAAGAAGCGACAGAAAAGCAAAGACAGTCAAAGAGAAAAAGAAAAAAGAACTATGAAGGAGGTGGAAATGTAATGTCTCAGAGAGTGTCCAAAGAGACTTTAACACTGAGCTCACTTGGTTTTAATTAAAATAAACACTGGCAAGTTTTCCTGCGTAATGCAGTTAGTTTTGGATAGCTAGAAGAAAAACTGTCCATGAGAATTATTATGACTTCATAAGCTAAATCTGCTGTTAGATTTGCAATGCTTATAATAAAAAATGCACAGCCAGTGTAGGATCGCTATTTACGATACATGGAAGTATTACCATATAACCTATCATACCACTGATTTATTAAAGATATTTCATCTGACTCAGTGTATTATGCACTATATTTGGCCCATTAGCATGTCAATATACATTCCCACTAGAGCAAAAATGAAATAAAATTCTTTGAATTCTGCTTGGGACAGGACACTATTACTATTTATGTAGATAAACATGTTTAAGTTCCAGGGTCAGACTGTATAACTACATATTCACATGCAGTTTGATAGCTAACACATTGTTTGAACACTGCTGGAGTAGAACTAAAAGTTCCAAACAAACAATTACCAATGCTACATTTCTTAACTTAACCTCTTATCCGCCCTCTTGTAAGAAAGTTACCAAGTTGGCATATATTAGTCTTAAACCAGGAAGTCACCGCCATTGCTAGTTTGTGTACATTCGGGATGCGTGCACAGGGAGCAGGGAAATCGAGCCATAAAAGTATTCTAAACAGCACAGGAAAGGAAGTGCTATTAGTAACGGTTGGGTTCACAGGTAACAATTACGCTGCTTTACTCACTTCCAGTGGCGGAGCCATCACTGTTGGTTTCGGTCTTCTCGCTGGAAGAGAAAGGTAATGGCCGTGAAAACTCCGTCCCTTGGTCTGGAGGGCAGCCCGCCATCATGCAGAGACGCAGCAGGCCACATCTGAGGATCAACGGCCACAGGGCAAGGCAATTACAGTGCTAACACTAGAAGCACCAGTGCTGGATACTATCAGACTGATTACATTAACAAGTTGTCACCTTTTTAATGAAGTCTACTGCATATGTGAGAGTAAAGTGCCCTGATAACAATGGTCAGTGTAAGGAATCAAAATCTACTGAAAGACTCTAGGAGATGTCTGTATTTATCAGTGCACTGATCAGCATTGTGCCCTGTGGCTAATGTTTAGTGCTCTGAATTTGTGCTGTGCTCACACAAGGTAATGCACCACTTCACAGCTATGGAGCTTCTAATGGCTCTCATAATAGATAATAATCCTGTCGATCATCCTGTTTTTGTGTCCAAACTAATGCTGTATCTGTGACTTTCAGAGGGTTAATGGGCTGTAATGGAGAGTCTTACGTGCTGTCACTGTCTGGTGCTCTGGTCAGCACACTCTGGACGAGGCCAGTCAGACTGGCTATCTGCTTCTCCATGGCCTCCATACGCTCCAGGCGATGATCCCTGCGAAAATAACAAACAGCACATCTGTGAAACAAAACACTGAACTCAACACAAACGAAGAGCTGAAAAAACACTTGGAATTCTTTGCAAACAGAAAAATATTTGTTCTTAGGGGTGTGAAATATGCAAATTTGAATAGGAGATTGTTAAACATGAATTAATAATATCTGTAAAATTTTATCAGGCAGAGAAAATATGTAACTTTGAGGGTTTTGTTTTTGTTTGTTTGCTTTTTTCCCCTGATGCACACTGCATCAGAAGATACAATAAAATACATGAATAAAAACAGGAAAACATTCACACTGATTCTTACTGACCTGCTACTGTCAGAATCTTGCCCAGATAACGAAGACCCAAAACCAGATGTGGTGCGGCTGCCCTCTCCAGGTCCAGCTGTTATACACAGAGGATCAGAACTGGAGCTGGGCCTGGATTTCGGGCTCTCCACAAACACAGAAGAAGAGGCAGAGTCCTTGCGGAAACTCTGTCTGACAGGTGAGGCTCTGGGTGTGCTGGAATAAGAGTCCCTGTCCCTCAGCTGCATGTCAGGGATTTTCTGTGGGGATGACGGTGGCATGCGAAATCCCATGCCCAGAGTGGCAGAAGAGTATGTGTCTGAGTATAGTGATCCTCCAGGCTTGTAGAGCGAGTCTTCCAGGTCTCCCTGGAGAGCAGCAGCTGAGTAGGTGCTGAGGGAGCGCACAGAGCCACGTCGGTACAGGCCAGCGGAAACAGGGAAGCTAAAGGGGTCTCCGATCGCAGCTAATGACTGGGTGGAAGCGATGCTGAGGCGGCCTTCGTGCATCAAGCTGTAGGGATCGGCATATAGCCCCTCATTTTTCATCAGTGCCATGTTTTTAGCAGAAACCTCTTCATCAGGCTTGACATCGCGGCGCTCCAGGATGGCACTAGGTGAAGGGGAAAGACCTGCGTTGGCACCATGGCCGGCTGAGGGATGGTGTGGGTGTCGGGGCTGATCATGTTGGGGATGGGATCCACCGAAGGATGGAGCACGGCCCCCGCTGTAGGAGAGGCGTGAGCGAGAAGGAGACCCAGAGGATGCTGAGGCGGTGGAGGAAGGAAGGGTATTTAGGCGGCGAGTTGGGGAGGAGTCGCGGGAAGAGTAGACCATTTCCCTCTGAAATGAACAAAGAGGGATGAGAGTTACCATGGAGACCAACAGATGAGTGTGCTGTGATTCCCATGCTTATAATGACTATGGCTATGACTTGGATCTGGCTGACACCAGACAAGGTGTCAGGATCTGCAGATGCCAAAATATGATGATAAATTTGTTAAACAACGAGACAAATTATTGGTCCAATGGAAGAGATCAGAGATGCTGCCTGTGATTTTGTTTATTAGACTAATGATAAAAGGAATACAATTGATTGTGTCTATTCTAAATGGAAAGAATCTGCGAGGCAACACAAGACCATGTAGTCTTAAATCTGTATCTTTATCTACAGCAGGATGATAACATGATGCAAAAGCTCATTCAACCTGAAAAGCTCTGAACGTTTCTTCACTGAGCTCTTCTTCCCTGCATTTTGTCTAGTATATTATTGTTAAACATGCCCCAGTGCTATCTTTAACTTCACCTCTGGCTGTGTTCCCCTGCTGCTAATTTACTCCTGTTGTGATTTTTCTAATTTCTGAACCTTTTAACTGTCAAATAGTCTGCTTTTCCTAGTCGCATATCTACTTTTCTAACTTAAGTCATTCCTGTTTTCATTCATTCTCAGCATCATAGCAAACAGTTTATTGCAGAGAATATATTAGACAAAGACAGAGTAATCTGTGATGTTTAGCCTTTGTAACCAGGGATAAATTTATTTATATACACTGAAAAACCATGGCATTAAAACTAAGCCAAACCCTGTATTCCCTGACCAGTTGACAAGTGGTTTCTGATTTTCAGTGGAAGAAACTGGATGTACCAAGAATCGCAAACACTAACTAACCACTGAGAGGTACTGAAACTTTAAAAAATGCAGTAAAAACTACCTCCAGCCTGCAAGATTGGGGCTTTAGCAATAGATTTCACAGTGACTGTGAACAACCACTGGCAACCAGTCAAGGAATACTTATTTTTCCTAATCAACTGTTGCCAACTGGTTGCCAGGTGGTCACCAGCTGGTCTTTAGGCCTATGTGGCTACTTGTTGATGTTTTTGTGGTGTACACATACTCGTTGGCCACCCCTTCCCCTCTTTTTCCATGTCAACTTCTTGTATAAAATGTTTACGTAAACAAGCACAGTACATGCACTGAAATCATTTTTCATTCTCTGTTTGCATGGTTAACAAGAGTTGTATTCTTAGTATTTTGTGAATAATGCAGATTGTAAGCAGAGTTTTGTATAAAAAAAAACTAAAAAAAGATCTCCCTCAGGCTCCCTTGATCTTTACTGAAGCAGAAATAGCTTTGAATGTTAAAATATGTTCATTTCACACAGGAACATTGTTCTCTGGTGTTTGCACAGCAACAGATGGCCTACTTGAAGATAAGAAAATACATTTCCAGGAGGAATACCTGTTAAATTACTAACCTGAATATACTGTAATAGCCTGTAATAGTCAAAGTAACCACTAAAATAATAAAAAATAATAAAACAAGGCACTATTACCTTACCAAAAAGGCACCCAATTATAGTTTTCATTGACAGTTCAGTTGTCAAACTTGCCAGAGATCAGACAAGAATTTTGTTCTGTGAAATAGCAGAAACAGGCTGGCCTTTTCACCTCCCATCTCCATTCTGCTTACCCTCAAGTCCCCGTTGGCCAGGTGTGCGGCAGCGGGATAAGAAGCATAGATGGGTTCTTTGCGGTAAATCTTGATGATGCTGCGATCCTGAATGTCTCTGACATCCTCCAGCTCGTAGAAGACATTACGGGCCTCGTCCTTGATCAGGATGGCTGTGTTGGGTGACTTCAGCATACCTGCTGTCAACTTCTGAGGGAACATGTGCACGATGAGAGCATGCAGCGTATCCAGGCTGGTGAGCTCATGGGTGATGTGCACCCGACGCGTCTCATCTCCATATTGCAGAAACAGCACGCCTAAAAGAAAGCGATGAAGGAGAAGGTGGCTGAGTCAGAAGATGCTGGCTTTAGTGGATGGAGAGAACTAGCAGAGACATTTTGTTGGCTGCAGCTGAAATGATACAAATGTTGTGACTCTTGAGATACGAAATCTAGATAACTTTTCTCATCAGATGTCAGCATGATTAATGGCTAAATGAGTACCAAACCCACTCTTATTTTCTTAATGTTAGATTAGGATTGTGAGAGCTAGTTGAGAATTCACAGATAATGCACAAAGATGCATGCACAGGCTGAATTTTTTTGCAAGGTTTTCTTTTTGAGTATTAGTTGCCCCACCTATGAATAATTAAACTCCAAAACATCCCAACTTCATAAAAAGCTTTCAGCAGATTCTGCAACGATCATATAAATAAAGATGTGTTTGACGCCTGACTAACCTGAAAATTCATCTTCATACACCATGGGACAAACAAAAAGTCATACACCATGGGACAAACAAAAACGAACAAACAAAGCAAAGAAAGACCAAGAGTTAAAAGTCAGGCAAAATTAAGTGTCAGTTAATACTGCAGACAAGTTGGGAAGAGAAGAAAACAAAGACAGTAGTTAGTGTAGAGACAGGGGAGACAGGCAAGCCTGGTGTGCCACTTTTGCTTGAACTTCTTATTCAGGAATGCCCTAATCAGGTATAGCTCTTTAATTTTACACCCACTTCTTTTACCTGCGCAAGGTAACTCCACACCTTTCTCTTCATGAATCTGCACCACCTTCACATTAATCCTCTCTACACTTCCAAGGCCCTTTTAATATAAAACTGTCCTCGAATGTTCTGCTTGCACACAAGGATATACTTAATCCAGTACAGTATGAACTCTGTTACAGTTAAATGAAATGTCACTAAAATACCTATCCTAAGAAAAAAAATATCTATGTTTTTTATTCCATTCTAAAAACTATAAGACATTTTTGAGCTCACAGGGAGCGTACTGCATCGACACTGAAAAACAAAGTCATACTTTATCAGGTTTGAGTGTTCTGTACATTTTTATAGCAGGTCAATTAGACTAAAGACTGTAAATTCGGTGTGAATAAAACACAATTCCTTCAATTCCTTGTAAGCACAGTGGTTCCCTTCACCAGCTACATGAGGTAAAGAGAAAGCTGCCTTGAGTCCAGCTGGTATGCAGTGATTTTAACCTGGAGATCGTAGCTTATTCTGGCTGGCTGAGCGGGACAGCGGCAGACTCTGGCGAAATCGGTTCATCCGGTTAAACCCAATGGGGATGTCGGCTTCTGACATAGTCTCCAAGGATTCAGCGGAGGCAAAAGAGAGCTTGGCAGCCTGGTCGGCAAGACCAGACTGGGTAGACTGGGAGTGGCGTGGACTGCGGCTCTACAGAGAGAAAAGGGACAGATTAATTCACTGTGAAGTGAAACTGAAGTGGAAAGAATGGATTGGACGGGGCTAGTGGTGTAAGAACAACTCGAAAACAGAAAGCAGGCACACAGTGAGACACCACACAATGAAACACCTAACAAGATTATTGAAGCCCTGACAATGGTTAAGCTAGCAGCCATTTACAAAGAATTACTGGCGTCACAGTCTCTGACATTAGTTGAATGGTGCAGCAACAAAACATTATATAGCTGTACTCAGTTGGCACAGAATGCCAGGACATCAGCCTTTATGAATCACTTGTAAGGAGACGTATTAAGCAGAAACTCAGAAAAAGTTAGTGAGACTTTGCACACCTCCCACATGCTCTCATACAAACTTGTCCGTTTGCAGCTACGAACTTTAAATGAATGCTTGTGGGATGGGAGGAGAAGCTCATGCAAATCCCAGGCTGTCACTGTGGGTTTATCCTGCTGGCCTATGCCCAGGCGTCTCTCACTGAAAGACTGTTAGCGCAGCTGGGGCTGAGCTCACTGAACTGTCTCTCTGATCCCCCACCGCTGCAGAGTCTCCTCCAGCTCAGAGGCTGCTGTAATGAGCTCCCAGAATGCTGTCTGCTCATTGTTTGGACGGCAAAAGCAAATGCATCTTTGGCCACAGCACAGGAGCCATTCCTGTCTCATCCTCCTTGAACCACGAGCACAACAGTCGTTCTGCTCGCTTAGAACAGTCCTTTCTAAGAATTTCCCTGTCTTCCTTTCGCTGCCTAAGTCAAGCAGCAGCATGGATCTACTGCTCCTTCCATTAATGTGGTATTTAATTAATGGGATACTGACAGAAGCAATATGGAGGGCCATATCTGCGCTCATTAAGTCTCAGCAGTGGGCTGTTTGAATTCATTCATAAACACACAACACTGCACAGAATACACAACCACTGTACATCCATTTATGGTTTTGTTAATTGGGTAATAAGCCAGGAAAGCATGCTGAACAAGAAATGAAAGATGCAAACAGAGAATACTTTCAATATGGATTTTTTTTTCAAAATAATCAATTAACTACTTAATCAGTAAAATGAAAAAATAGCAGGGAAGAAATCCATCTCAATATCCCAGACAGAGAATTTCAAAAGGGTGGGTTTTGTTTTTACCAAAAGGCAGCATGTGACAGTATACTGTCACAGTGGGCAAAATGAATGTAGCACAAGATTAATTTTTTTTAGCCTTGCAGGTGGCACAGTTCAATGGATGGCAATGTCACCCTGTCAGATAGTCGATCGACCACCTCGGTGCATACTCAGCTTTTAGATCGATTGCTACAGAATTTTGCACCGACGATCATAGTTCAATTTGTCCAACACTTCCAAGTGAACACCAGCCTAGCTTTAGCTTTAGTAGATATCCTTAATATGTAGATGCAAATGATAATAAACGTTGCAGTACTCATGCAACTCAATGAGATAAATCTTTTTTACTTATTAAACTTCTGGGAATCGAGTAATTATTCCAGTAGGAAATGGAATAACCAAACAGCAATATATGGGACCTTATATCATGTTAGGTACTGCACTCATTGGTAATTTGGTCTTTTAATTAGCTGCTGCATGCATTCACGTGTATGTTTACAAGACGAGTTACAAACGTGCAGCAAGACTAAAAATCCCAACGACCATTTTTTATAATGTAACCTTACATTCCTTTTGCCGCCATCATACATAATTCAATCACGCAATCATACACAGTGAACCAAACCAGTGATGGTAGCGGCAGACAGTGTCTGAGCGCACTGAGAAACTGCGATGCTGACAGATAACCCACACCATGTTTTCTAATAGGGTCATTTATCTAAGCTGTGACCACACCGAGGAACACAGCCAACAGCATCACAGAGGAGGAGGAGGAGCCCACACTGTAGCTTGCCTCATTCTGGCCAGACCATCCTACATAGGGACATTAAGGGGTGAGGAGGGTTGGGGGATCAAAATAAACCCTGGAGATTTTATTTACGTTTCCACTGTTTTAGGAAGCAAAAGTTGTGATTGAAATGTTGAAACATGCTTTCGGTGTAATATAAGCTGTTTGATGTGAGTCTAAGAAGCTATGATTAGCAGACTGGCAACACTGGTGAACAGTCATCCCAGCTCTGAGGTAACAGCAGTATAATTCTTGGGCTTCGTGCATTTGCCAGACTACTATGTAGGCTGGAGTTATTTATACATGACCTTACGTCGAAATAGGTAAAATAACCAGTTGTAATTTTTACACTTTACAGGCTAAACAGTAAAAAGGTTACTTACTGAGCTAAAAGGTACTGATTTGTAGATTTTTGTTACTTTTTAGAATGAACCAGTGTAGTGAGGTGTGCTACTGATAGTGATGTTTTCATATATACTTTACATACATGAGACGGATAGCAATCTTCTCAACTAACTCTTGTTAAGAGAATGAATAAGCATATTTCCTAACTATTACATTTTTTAATGTTAATTTTTGCTAGACTATTTGTAGACTACACTTGACGTTCTAAATGCCAATAAAGAAGGAGGATGATAAAAAGCAGTTTTTGGACTCTGTGCTTAACAAATTCAGGTGTTTAGCCAACACAGAACAGGTGCTGAACCAGCCGTCTAAATGAAATATTACTCAGTAAAAGTAACACCCAGGAGCTGATTTGGCAAAGAAATGCAGCTTTTTCTATGAATGGGAATATGAGCAACTCTGACTTGACTCATTCTAGCTGTCCTTGTTAGAATATAATTTTAAAGCGAAATAACCCACTGAGCTTTCTAGGAAATGGAAATGGGAGAGTATGATCCTGTATGTCTGAACAAGCTTTCCTGTCATCTTTTTAAACCCAAATTTACCTCCTTATTCACCCTGTATTCTCTCCGCAACTCCTTTCAACATGCTGCAAAAACAAGACAATGAAATCCCCATGTATGACTGGGTGTAAGATTACTGCCGCTGTTGTTACATGTGGTTTTACTCAGATCGTCTTATTACAACAGTCCCCAAACATTGACTTCCATATTGGTGGTTTATGTGATATGTAAACTGAAAATGTCTCACTGCGGTAATTTTGCATTGTAAATAATATATGTGAATGCACCATCTGGTCATGCATCTGGTGCTGCTAGAAATGCCAGCGTTACATCACGGTGTTCACAGCCTTTGAGGAAAACTGGTTTTACCTCCTCATTTTTCCTCCACACCCTCCCACTGTCCACCCCCTTCCCTACACCTCAACCTTTTCTTTTAGACTTTTTCCAACAGCACTCAATTACTGTTGCAATCTCCACACTGCTATAAGGGCATTGCAGAAGAGAGGAACAAGAGGAGAACAGGATGATCTTACATGTGAATAGAGTGGAAAGTGGGACAAGGCAACCTAAGGCTACAAACTGCATTAAACTCATTGCAACCTCCCACCATGTCTTTTCTTGTTTCTTGCTTGTAGACACTAGCATGCGTGCATACACACAGACACACACACACAATGGTCTACTCTGCTTTAAGGTCAAAAGCCTTGTAGCCTTGTTATATGGCTTTCTATGTTTGGGGGAGCATTTCTCATCAAACTCCATCTTGTACTTCAGGGTCGTCTTATTTAGACTGCAAACTAGTTGTCAGATTTTTTATCTCTTCTTCAATAAAAATGGTGAACTTCACTTCAACCACAGAATGTTTTAATCTGTCATACTGTAATTATACTTCTGGGGCGATCAAAAATTGAATGCATCTGCAACGTTATCTCTCTGTGAAGATTACATTTAATTTAAACCCTGAACTTGTTTTCTGATATTGTGCGCAGTTTGAGGTGGTTGATGCCTGATTAACTAACTGCCTGAAGGTTCAGTGATCTGGCCATAAAAGTGAAGTGAGCTTGTTTTAAAAATTCTGGAGTATATTTTGAACTTGAAACCCCCTCTGTGTCCTTATATATTCCTATTTTCCTCTTGCTCATAACATAACATGTAGAATGTGAATAAATATGAACCGTGTGATGCACAAGCTTAAGTTAAGAGGAGTTCATGTGCGAGGTGTCGGCATTGGCTACGATACAGCTGAGCATCCAACAAGACAAGAAAATGGCTGAACTACACTGCTGTAACAGTCTAAAACCAGAGGCTGGCTTATTACATGATGATTGCTGCCAGCCTCTTTCTAATCTTTTCTGCAAGAGCAGTAATTCTCCTCTTAAGTGACATTAAATTCTGTTGGATTTGAAAATTACTATATATAAAAATGCCAAACACAGCTTGATGTGAGTGAAGCCTTTGGTTCCCGAGGTGTAAAATCTTTAAATTGCAAACCTCACACCTTGTCCACATCTCATACTTTTTTCCCTCCACCAGCTTATTTTGTTTGCCCCTCCTAATAATATCTTTATCTTCCCTGGATGCTTCTGTGTGTCTTAGCCTCCAGTGATATGTCCTCATTTCCCACCTTTTATCCCCGTCACTCATGTGTCCTCCTTTAATTCTTACTCGACTGCTTTGTGTGAACATATCTGCTTCCCCCTCAGTCTCTGAGGCCAAAGCCACATCCAGGTACATGTCTTGTGTTGTTTCTGTCTACATTTTGAGCATTTTTAATGTTTTTCCTCCACCCACAACCTGGCTCTTTTCCCACACAAAAAAAAGTTCACAGCTCTCACTTTTAGAAAATGGAGAGAAAACAGCCCCCTAAATCGATCCATCTCTCACATCCATTTGGCTCTACTTGCTTTTTTCCGTTATTATAGCTTTTCATCTTTTCACACAGTCCCCCAATACTCTCAGAGTCCTTTCTCTTTAGAATACCAGTAATCATCAATGCATGGAACAAAATGCTTTGTAAAATTGCTATAAATTGTAAGTTGTTGCAATAGGTTTGCTTATAAAAGAGAGTGAGAATAACGCAGTGTTCCTCAAGACACCATATTATAACTGAGAGTGTTAGGTGGGTTTCTGGCTGAGAGAAACAGCAGTTTTGAAACTTTGACAGTTTCATTTCAGGGATATGTTCAGTCATGCGTCACCCACAACTTGTTAATTAGACTTAAAAATGTGTCTTTATTTAGTATGCTACAATCCAATAAGATCCCTGGAAAACATATTTATGCCAAAGATGAAACCATGAGTGTATGCAGTCCTTATACTACTTCCATTTGGGGGTTTAATTTGAGCAGGGAGGGTAATTCAGGGAGAATTAGCCTTAGATTAGAGATGATAGCATGAGGGAGCAGGACATGGCTTTCAGAAGCTCTAGTGCAAAATGGAGAAAATTGAACAAGATGAGGCGCCGACATACAGTAAAAGATGTCAACAACAGCCTCTGTGTTAAAATCTAAATATATGATATCTTTAGATTTAGGATCACTTGGAGTATTTTGCTTATTTCATTTGACACTATATTAATGCTGCTGCATCTCTGGAACAAATCAATAAATTCTCTCTTTCTCACTACCTAATTTAGTGCAAAGCTGCAAAACAACAATACGTGAATAACAAAAAAGCAACTTGCACTAATAAATGCAAAGAAATGAAAACAATCTCTAGTAAATCACTGATAAAGAAAATGTTAATCATGAACTACTTTGACTAAAGAAGAGTTAATTTTAGTTTTTTTCTAAAGCTTTTCTTCTAAACACTTCACAGTTTGTATAACGCAGCTTTCAGTTTGTCATTAACGGTTGGAAAAAAACTAAACATCCCTAAAGGTCAACTTGACTTTGGGGAATACCGATGAGCATGTCATGGCCTTCATTGCTAATCAAGAACCCACATTTTCAAATGCAAATATAATTATTAGTTTCAATTATTATTATTTTGACATCATTTTAACATTTTCATTGGGACTGAGCAGGATGGATAAGATTAGAAATGAGTATATCAGAGGGCTAGCTCAGGTTGACATGATTTGCACATGTGCAGAGGAGGGATAGTGAATATGTTGGGTAACAAATGGATAAAGGATGTTGAATGTGGAGCTTCTAAGCAGGAAAAGAGGAAGATTCATGGATATAGTGAAGGAGGACAAAGGGTTGGAGGCAGATGAATAGCATTCTCAGTATTTCTGCAGAAAATCTTTCAGTCTTGTTATTTCATTTCTCAAAAGTCATAATTGGTTCAATTGATTGTTTCAAATGCTATTTTTCTTCCTCAAACACCCCCGAGCTTTGGCAGCCCACCTGTATGTCCTGCAGAGTTCAAAATCGTTTACTTGTGTGGCACATTTATGTGACAGACAGAACTCTAAATTCATGTTATTCAGAATAAATTAGTTGTGGGAATAGGGGATAAATTGCTTACCCTTCCCCAAGGGTCAGGGCATTTAGCCATTGATATTTAGTGACATTTCCACCTGGTCCAAATGATGCTGAGAGCACAGACTGAGGTCAGACTACAACTCAGACAAGCCCTGGGCTCTTCCCTCACACATATCAATACCTTCTTTAACCTCTTCTATTTAGATAGTACAACTCCCTGCCTACCACTATGATCTATAAAGTCAGAAAGTGATACACACAACCTTGCATGCAAGCCAGCAATTCAGCGTAAGTGATTTATACAGTCAATATCACTGCCTGTTCTCCAGTGTATATAACCCATGTTTTTCCTTTATAAACCTGTGGATAAAATACATTTAGCATCTTTAGCCATGACTCAAGCTTCTGTGCTAATGCCAAAGCATTATTTCAGTAATGCTTGAGTAGCACATCTGAAATGCATTCTTAATGTCTCACTCAGTAATACGTCAGCAGTGTCACATGGCTGCTATCCATTAATGCCAGCTGACTGAGGTATCATAAATCCAGAGAGATTCATCTTCTGCAGATTAAATGGAGCGGGAGAAGTTTAAGCTGTTGCCACCCCTGACACCTCTGCCACCACACACACCCATAAAGAGACAAAAGTCTCACACACATGCACACACACAGTGCACAGAGAGCCAAGAGATGTCAAGCGAGTTGGATACTGAAGCCAAAGTAGCATGGAGATAGGCTAGTGATGCCTGAGGGTCGAAAGTGATGCCACAGCACAAAGCACACATAGACACATTCAAATGGACACACTAACACACACAACGGACAGGAAAAATGACAAACACACAGGGACACTTGAACTAGCAGCACTGACCTTAAAGCTCCAGTAGTTGGGCTGTTGCTGTGAAGTTTCAGGAAGGGAGACAGAGAGAATAGTTAGATATTTACGTCTCTGCTTATAGCTTAAGTTAAATATAAACAGAATATTGCGCAGAGCAAAGTAAACTAGTTACAAGACAGAGTCACGCTGCAGGCCACAAAAAGTTTTGCATTTTCCTCCAGAAAGCATCATTTGAACTCATTAATATTACTGACAGCCTCATCTAATAGGGCTCTCTGAAGTATTAAATGATTGGTGTTAATGCAAGTGGTCTCTGTGTTTTGCAAGCACTGGGTTCCAGCGTACCTAAAACAAGATTGCGTTGTTGGCTGTAACTGGTGAAGGTGAGGAAATGAAAAGAGTGAAATCGAATCAAGCAAGCAACCCACTCTGTAGCGGCAACGCTGGCCTCTCTCCCAGACTTCACCACCACAGGCAACCGAGCACTCTGCCTCCCGCTTGCCGTCTCCTGTCTCATCCATTCCCAATCCACCAGCTGCGCTCTTTTCATCAGAACCTCGAAATCTCACCTGCTTATTTTCGCCAGTGCATGCTGTATTTCTCATCTGTCCATTTGCCCTTCCTGCTGCTCTGCCACATACTAAAAGGCGCTCGCATTTTGGCAGAGGTCTCTGGCTTTCTATAAAGCCATAATTACCCCACAGTCAAATCCAGGCCAATCCACTGATGGCTCCAAAATACCTTAAACTGACATGGAAATTAAAAAAAAAAAAAGATTGCAAAAGTCCATGAATTTTAATTCTAATCCAAACTGTTATTCTTGTTCTTATTCTTATCTGCAGGCAATTTTCAGTCCATTCAGTCCCCGTTCTCCAGAACCCACATTAGTCTCCTGGCAGATGAATTTTTTTCTTTTTCTTTTTTTTTTTAAGCGACAAGCTTTGATTTATGATAGTTGGTGGTTTTTCATTACCCGCCTCCCATTCTAATACAGTCTCAACAAAAGCCAGATTATTTCTGTAAACACGAGAATCAGGGCCAGTGATTACTAACTTATTGCAACCCAAGCTTTCACTGAATGTTCCCTCACTCTTTTTCAGCTCAGGTGTTTCTGTCACTCTATTTCCTTCCGTCTTCTCTTTTCGTATCGAGATGCAACTGTTTGCTTGGCCTTGACACAGAATGAAGTGCTATAATTAAATTAATGCAAAGCAGTAAAGTTTCCTGGGCAAGAAGGTAGCAGCAGTAAACTACTGTGTGCTGAAACCCCCTTTGCAGCTCTTTTCAGTCAGTATACAAGGTGTTTTATGGCTCTGATGAAAACAGGAGAGGAAAACTTTAAATGTTTTGTAGCTACTTTACATAAATGAACAGATAATTATTTTATATTATCAGTTTTGAATTAAAGTGTGAATCTTGAACGCCACACCAACAAAAAGAATTAAAAATAAATAAAAATCACAAATGCACTAAAAAGACAATAAATGCTTTTTACTTCTAGAGCTATTCTACTAAAATTTTATTATTCTAATGATGAATTATTATTGTTTTTCCCAGTACTTTGACTTTTTGCATCAATAGCACACATGGTGGCTCGATGGTGTAGCGGTTCACGCCATCTAACAAGCAAAAGATCCCATCCCAGGAGGAGACAAATCCTTTTGAGGGTGTGTCAGGAAGTGCATTCAGCGTAAAAAAAAATCTGCCAAATCAAACGTGCCGAGTGGGTCCCTTGTGAATAAAGGAGCAGCTGGAAGCAGCCACATCTACAGCACTCATGAAAATCATGTCTATATGGTTACCTAAAAATAAAAAGTTGCCAGAGTAGCAAAATTTAATTGATTTTTTTTAGACAGAAGATACTGTATATACACACAAACAGGCTGGAGAGGGGGGAGCTAAATATCAAAATACGTTTCCATGTTTCCCTGATATCTACGCTGCACTGATTGTACACTTCTCTTGAATAATAAAAGTCCATTTAATATGTTTTGGAAGTATTTTGAGACTTTTGCAACATATTTTAAATCTTGCTTTTCCTGACGTCTGGCAGGAGGTTCAGGCTGCTGAGGTCCCGATAGACTCAATAGACTCAAGGACAGCTTTTACAACAGGGCAATGGCCCTAATCAGTGCAAACAGCTGACCTGATTGACTACCTCCCTGGACTTTTTTGGGGGGGGGTAACAACAATAACAATAATAATATTTATAAAAAACAACGTGCAACAATAATTAATGTGCAATAATAACAGTGTGCAATACACAAAGACTTATTCTTCATTTTATTACTAAGTTAAGTTACTGTGATGTGTTGTGTTGTGTTGCATATAGTGCCAACGTGCGACAGTTTTCCAAGTTCATCATACTATTGTACTATGTATGACTGTACAATGACAATAAAGAGTTATCTTATCTTATCTTTAAATCAGCATGTAGTTTGGACTCAGCATTAGTCTTGGGATCGACTGCACCAACCTACCAGAACATCCCAAAAAGGGAAAAATATCCATAGCTCAGAATATCTGCGCCATTCATTACAAATCTGTGTTTTGTTATATATGATAGACAACAGCTTTAGAAGGCTGCTCTAAAATTATTCAGGTTTCGTGAAGTGGCTGCTGTCTTTGAGTTCATCTGTGCTTGTCTCTTCTTTTTTTTATACTGCATCTCCACTATATAAACAAAACCTGCTTGGAGCTTACACAGTATACAATACAAAAATGGTTTAATAATCCTGTGATATGGGCCGAACAACAGTAACAAACTAACCACCTAAAAAATGAAACACTGAAACCTTTAAATCTCACTCAAAGCATTGTGTGCCATTTTGTTATTTTATTCTCCAAGTAATGTTTTGCTAGTGTAGAGTGGAGTTGTTCTAAGTATAATTTTAAATGTGTATGACTGTGCTTAGGCTCACTGGCTCTGAGACAAGTGGGACGCAAATTTATATGGCGCTTAATCTCTACCCACGCTTCTTTTTCCCCGTGGTATATAAATTTCTACCAACATGTCAAAGCAGTTGCTAGAGAAAATGACTCTTTGGTGTGATGTCCCCTGCCAAACTCTAATGCCTTATATTGTTGCTGTCCATAGAAAACCACTCATCTTCAAAGTCCACAGGATTAAATTAACCAACATTGGTGATAATAAAGAGAAAACTCTTTGTGGATGATTTTAAAAAGTTCTCGTTGTTCACAGGAACACACTGGATTTGTAAATCATCTGGTCAAAAAGCAGACTCTCAGTTAGAGATTGAAGGTCAGTGATAAAGTGGGTCGCTTTTGGGGATATGCCAATACACAATCCTTCAGGACTGGACTTAAACTGACCTTCAATACCTGATCATGAGTCCATCATTTATTAACTGTAGCCACTGAGTTTTGTCCTTGACAATTTGTCGAACTGACAGGAGCTCAGGGGCAGCACCGGTGCATCATAAATAATTGCTGTTCATTTGTTCTGACAACCTTAATGATTTTATTTTCCCACAAAGCTGAATGACTCAGAGGCTTGGCTTTAATGGTGCAGAAGTGATTTGTGGTCTTGTGTGTCTGTCTCTTCCCAGTGTTTCTCTGTTTGTTGCTTTAATGAGGCTAACTCACACTAAAGTAAACACATTTTTATTGTTCTTTAACCGTTGCTCTGCTCTGACAGCTGCAGATACACTTCACTTGGACTTTGATTTGCAAATATTCGAATGTGAATGTGAGAGAGAGCAAACTGGAGAGGGCTTATTTCAATGTAGATTATTTCTCTTTAGCAGTTCTCCATGCAGGCAATAATCACTGCCATTAAAGAACATCTTCTGGGAAGAAATCATATTCAACACCTTAGCCTATAGTGCCAGTCGTTATCACTCTAATCCCAGATGAACAGATGACAGAGTAACTCTTGACTGTAGCTCTGCTACTTAGCTCAAATCTACACATTGTCATTTTTTAACTTCCACTTGAATTAAATAGGCTGCAAGCCCCACTTAGACAAAATTACTGATAGATGTTTGAACTTAGGGCTGGAGGGTTAAATGCATTTCTCACTGCAAAGTTAAGACATCTATATATTTACGCATAAGCTTGTGTTTGTGCACTTACTGGGGTTAACCACAGAAATCTAACAGAAGGACTTAGTCTCGCAGAGTGGAGCGCTGCATTACCTGACCTGCATGTAAAACAGGCTGCACTCGCTCCACCCCTCCTCCACCTCTGTCTCTTTCTCATGTCGTCATCCTCTCTGCACCCCCGCCCCCCTCAAATCAACCCTTCTTACTCTTTCTCCCTCGATCCTCCTCCAGTCCGGTGTTGTGTCTAAACATCACAGCAGCTTCTCCGTCTCTCTCTCTTAAAAACGCACACATTAATCAGCAAATTACTGCTCAAACAGAGACACAAAGGACGCTGTGAACAGCTTATACATCAGCCCCCGTGTAGCTTGCTTTGTGAGCATATGCACGCCGTCTATACAACCACAACAAGCACAACAGGTATGCACTCTAATCCCAGCGAGCACATGCCCTCCCAGAAACACACAAACACACAAACTCTCTGCGGCAGCCTCCAGTTTCCAGTCTCATCTCACCTGCAGTGCACCTGTGCCTGTCCACCACTCCAGTCATCCCAGGCTGTTCGTCAGGTACAGTGAATCCTCATCGTGCTTTCGCCTGTCTCTCCCTCCCTGAGCTTCTCTTACCCACCTCCCTCTCTTTCACTCAATCTCCCTCTCTCGCTGTCTCGCTCTACAGTTGCACATGCGGCGGAAACTCTTTATTTAATTCATTACAACACCAGCCGATTAACTCCTTCGCAGATGGGTGGCTGGGTCCTGCTGGTGCTGGCTAATTGAGCAGTGGGCTGCTTCACAGGCTGCTGCGCTCCTCTCCAGCTCCTCCTCCCACCCTCCCTCCTTCCTTGCTGTCCATGCTCTGCAAAACCACAAGATGACAAGAAATCCTGGGCTCTGCTGCTTCCTTCCCTGAGTGAAAATGCCCTGTCACCTATGGATCTGTCCACTCCACAGGCTGACACTTAATTTGAGGGAAAAACACCTACCTTGAGCTTATTATTCCCCTGTCTCTTCTGGATTCATTGCACAATTCATCCCTCTCTACACAACCTGACCTTTGCAATGCGATATCCCCACCTACCATACATGGGAGAGGTTACCAAGGCAACTACGGACTCCACCTGCCGTTCAACCACCCTCCCGCTTGCTCGCTCACTCCGTCACTCTCTTTGATTCTTTCCCTTCGCCCCTGATGTGCTTTTCTTGTCACATCATTACACTAAATCTACCCGGTTTTAACACAGCAGCTGCACTGGAACACAGAGAGCATGTTTCTGCGTAGTGTGTGTGAGACAGAGAGCCATGAAACTGGTCAAAGCATGAAGCACATTTGGAAAGGGGAAAACAAAAAGCGAGGAGAGCAGAGGAGAAAGATTATTTCGATGTGTCCGCACCTTAGCAGAACCCCTGCTCTGGTCTGAACCCCTCTTCTGAAGGCGGCACCATGCTGAGTAGCATCCTGTTGCAGCACCTCCGGCTCGGTTCTTTGATCTTTGTATTTTTTTAATCAGGGTTTCAAAATTTTGTGCTAATTTGAGAGGACATCTCTCATCTTTAACTCTATGTAAAGTTTTGCTACTTCTTCAAGAAGTAAAACAAAACAAAGCATTTTATAATGACACCTGTTACACCTACAAAACTACCTGACGCACCTCTTTTACGTAGTCTTTTCTATCTAGGTCGGTGTCAAACTGCGTGCTCGTTTCACTGTTGATATCACCAGCAAGATGCTTGTTTTTTTACCATTTAATAATCCATTTAACTCCACCTAAGTAATGGGGCATTCTGTGTGTACAGACAGCATGTTTTTTTGATTTTTTTGGTTTTGTTTTTTGGTGATGTCACCCACTGAGAAAACAGTAGTATGTCCTGAATTAAAAGCAGCACCTGCCAAAAAAGCACCATAAATGGAGTAAAACCCTGCAAGCTGGTTCAAGGCAAGCAACTTGAGCTGCGCTACGTCATACAAACGTAACATGACTCACGTCCTGCTGTCGTATATCAATAACACTGTCCCCATTTGATGGTGTATTTATACTTTTCTCTCCCTATAACAAATCAGTGCTGCTGGAGCCCTGCACCCACCTGTTGGCTCCCCTATCGCTCCCAAATTTCTGCGCGTGTGATATTTGTGGGGGAAGAGATGTTCTCTGGGCTAAGATACCAAATTCTAGCTCTGCTGCTGTAATAAATTAGTCATTTCAAGCTTGAGTTGCCTTTTGGAAGTATCTCTGGAAATGGCAACAAAGTGAAAAATAGAAACAGTCGCAAGTACATTAACTAATAAATGAATATTAATTACTTGTTCTCTTGCAGATCGCTCTGATGTACCCCTCATGCTGGCATGGGAGGGTGAGGGCGACGGTGGGTTGTGGTGAGGGCTGTGGTGTGGATGCTGAAGCTGCTGCTGCTGCTGCTGCTGCTGTTGGTACTTGCTCTTCAGGTGATCCATGAAGGCGTCCCTCTTGCGTTCCATGTCAGCTTTGTGCAGGTTGGTCAGGGCCTCCAGGCTCTGCGCCGCACTGACTGTGTGCCGGTGCTCAGACGTATGCACCAGACCAACATTGGAGAAGCGCCGAGCATTGTTCCCCAGCGTCCGGTATTCCCGTGGATATTCCAGGTCATCTCTTGAGATCATGTGACCGCCAACACGCTCGGGATCTAAGAGACGAGGAAAGGGAGGACAAAGGAAAGGGAGAAAGGGAGGACAAAGGAAAGGGAGAAAGGGAGGAAAGAAGGGTGGGAAGTATGCAGGAGAGAGGTGAATCATCACCCACACAAGCATGCAGAAAGATTTTAAGGTGGAGACGTACATACACACAGCAGGCACACATAGGTGGAAACAAATGAAGCAGAGAAGGAGAGTGGAAATATAAGGTACAGAGGGGACAGGAGAGAGAGCGAGAGAGAAAGAGAGAGAGAAATGGGATGGGATGTTAGACTATTTGCCACCAGGACAGAGCAGTTCCTTGCAGAATTATTGATTTCAAATGCTGAGGGAAGAAAAATGAGAAAAGTAAAATGCTTCTGCGGTACATCAAAGGAAGAAGCTCAAACTGAATTTGTTTTGCTGGATATTCCATTGTGATATGCCTGCTTGTCATCTTAAGTGGCTTTCATTGTTTTCTTGGAGAAACAGTGAAAAACAAACTACTGAAAATTGAGGTGATTGAAAGTCACATGGGAACATGAAGAGAACAGCATTTTCATTTCTCTCACTGTTCTTGTCCTTCCTCACCAACTCCTGTCGATCTGTGTGAGCATGCCCTCCATCCCATAACCCCGTGAGACATTTTCTCTACATATTCTTACTGTCTCTGCTGAAAGGTACTGATCCGGCTGTCCATTTTTAAGGAGGTGCTTCAAACTGACAGCCCTTGGCCTTTTGTCAGCTCTCTAACTGACAGACAACACAGCCCAAGGTGGAAGGAAAGAAAAGGACAGAAAAGGAGACAGTTGGAAGAAGACAGTGCGATTACACACACACACACACACACACACACACACACACACACACACACACACAAATAATTGTGTGACTTGAATCATGAATGAATGATGGTGCGATAAAGAGCAGAGAACCTTTCAACCAGTAAGTTACCTTGCTTAGGAAAACAGGCCCCAGCGTTGGCTAGAAGAGAAACATGCCAAAGGTTAATATATGTGTTTGTGCACAGATGTGCAACCAAACACACCAGAACACATGACCATCAGAAAAGGGCTATCAAGAAATGATAGCACTTCGTCTGAATTACGATAAGTTAATGCATTATATATGCATTGTGATGTATTCATAAGGGTTCACATATGGTAAAATGGCTTTCTATGAATGCTAATAGTGTCTGACGGTAACTTGCAGAATGGTGAATGACTACAATCATGAATTTTACACAGAAATAATGTTTCCTAAAACTCCAACACATTTAACTCTAACAAAATATTAAACGTCAGCAGGTAGACAAGCATTTTTCTTTTCAACTCGATAATAAAAACTAATATTATTTAAAGTAAAAGCATGAAAAGTGCTGAGGCTTAATAGGGCTGAATGAAGTGCACCATATGTACATTAAATTCACATCAGCAACATTAGCACAAGCTGAACAAGTGAGCAGCGGAGGGAGGCTCCTCGGGGCAGAAGCAACAAATGGACTGTTAATGAACGCACAAGTGACGAGAAAGCCGGCCAGATGGAGGCTCCGACGCTCTCTGGTGGAGAAACCTTAACACAGAAGGAGTCTGTTAAGAGCCGAAGGTCTGTGATCACTCCATGGCAGCTGCAATCAAACCGTGCACTCATTGTGAACCCATTTCTCACTCTCTTCGTTCGCCGAAAGATTCTGCACTTAAGTGTGAACTGCTGTCTCAACACCCCGCCCTACCACCCCGCACGTTATGAAGTGCTGATAAACTGAACAGGCAAAAGGCAAAATGGACTGACCTCCGAGCTAATAGCATTAGCATTGAGCTCTCCACTGCACACCAAGGCTGACGGCCATACTCATTTGGCCCCCTCTCAGTTTCCCAGATCTCTGGTTTACACCTCATTAGGCTGGAGCTTATTGTGCATCAGCTAACAAGGACCTGACTCAAGGGCCCCATTACAATGGCTGGCAAAGCTGTGCCTATGTAGTATGGCTTATTATGCAACTGAGTAGCAGCGTTGACAGTGAAAAGCTGAGTACACTAGGCTGCCTATAGACAGGCATAAAACTAAGAAGAGAACGAAACATCAGCAAACATTTATAGTACAGCCAAGAGTTTTATAGAGTCCTATAGACTGACTGTGAAACTTTTCACAGTGAATACCCCCTCAAAAAACATTTGGCTCTTCGAGTGCCATCATTACAGCCGGCATTAAAATACAGTAGATATATAGTATATCTACTATAATTAGATATATAGTAATAGTATTTTTACTTGAAGTTAAGACAACACATGGGAAAACGTTTTAAGGGTAACGAGGGCTAAATCTACAGCAAAATACAAGCACTGGTGGCAAGCCCTTATTAACTGTTAGCTAAATAATTCAAACCTCTTAACAACAATAATGCATCAGTGCTGGTTAATGCCTGGAAAAAAACATTTAGGACATTATCACTACACGGTTGTTCTCTAGAATGATGGCGTAAGCAACTAAACTGGCCTGTATATGATTTTCTTTCTTTCTCCTGGAAATTAAGTTTAAAAAGTGGGGATAATTTTATGATACTCCTTTGCTAGGCATGTTTTCACGTCTGATTATCAAGAATCTGTCAACTACAGAGGAGTTTCCTTAGGCTTATGTATCTCAGGGAAACAAGATGAGTGTAGAAATGTTTCCTATCTTCAAAATGAGTTCAACAGATGTCAGATAATTGGAAATTCTTTAATATCAGGTCTGTATTCAGACCAATATGCTATGTGGCTGTGCATATGTTTTAGTAAGATTTTATGTCATAGCAGAAGTCAAATGGCTTGCAAACGTCAGCCAAAATGAATAACTCTTGTTTCAAATCCAACCCAAAAACTTTCCAAACTGCAGTTTGTGGATATTCTTTGCAAAGCTGTACACAAAGCCCTCCATCTTAAAAACAGCGGGAGTAAAAGTTGTGTGGGCAGGAGCGTAAGAATAGAAAATGGAAACAGGTTATTCATCTTTACTTTCGTCATTCTCAGCCAATATATTTCCACATAAGCTGGCAGACAATAACCCTGACAGCCAAAACAATCTGTAAAAGCCCACGCAATGGCAGCATCATTTAAACACACATAAAAAGACGGGTTGGGGGAGGATTTCTAGTGTACACTATATAACAAGAAAGCACTTTCTGTCACAAAGTCTGGGTCTGCAGCGCACCAAATTGCAACTACAAAGCGCCTCCGGGAAAAGTTGCAGGATGTTGGTCAGCTAAAAAACAGAGGACTTGAATGACAACAGGAGCCTGCAATGAGAACTGATAAGATCTGTGAGCCCAATGAGGCCTGAGCTGCATTACCAAGATAGAGGCCACAGTCAAGTGCATTAACCTGTCTAAATAAAAAGAGCCTGCTGCGGCAAGCTCAGAGAGATAACACAAGACAAACAGAGGAGAAGAAATTACAATCCTGGAAAAATAGATACTATAATACAGTCCAAAAAATCCCAACAAAAAACAACTAACAACAAATGCAGCCTGATTGCACAGTCCAACTCCAGTGATGTTTCTCCCGGTTTATGCAAAATGCGTGAAGTCTGAAACCATCTTCCATCAGTGAAGATTTTTCTACAAATTACAGATTATGCATAAAAAGAAAGTTGCTTAAAAAACAGGGCTCATACTAGTCATTTCCCCCCCCATAATCACCTCATCCTCCTTAACGTTTCTCATCTATCTTTAAATGTAGGCAATTTCAGTTTCTGACGAGGTATTTGCCAAACCACCCACAAAAACTATTAAGAGACATACATGCATAATATTAATCTCTATCACTACAACCAAATTCTGGACTGTATACGAAAACGTGTTCTTACAGCCACCCACTGAGCTGGAGTTTCAGCTCAGGAAGAGAACTTGCTACTCATCATATGCAAAGACATATGGTATGGAGAATCAGGAGAAGGGGTTTGGATTCGCTTTTTGCTGGATTTGGAAGAGGCAGCCTGTGCAGCTTTATATTTTCGGGATGTTAAACATGTGGGTCAGAGAGAGCAGGGGGTGTATGAGAAGTTTTAAGTCCCACAGCATGATAAGAGAGCTGCAAGGTGCAAATAATCAGAGCTCTGGATTCCTTAATAGCTAAATCTAATTTCACAGGCACTTCAAAACACTTGAGTCTGCACATATTGTGCCATATGCAGGTGCAATTTAAGGCTTCTGAATAAGCATTGTTTGAGAGGATACAAATATGAATAAACATTCTTTTGACATAAAAAAAAACCATGATGCTTGCAGTTAAACAGTATTTTGGAGATGCAGTTATTGATAAACGTGGAGCATTTCTCCTTTAATCAATAATCATTTGGTTGGCACAATGTCAGAAAAAAAATGAATATTTCTGTTATCATTTCCAACAGTTAAAGGTGATATCTTTAGTTTTCGAAAGTACTCTGGTGAAACACTAAAGAAGCTGAAATGCTATCATCTAGCTAAACAAGTTAATCAGTAACTAACTGAGGGATTGCTTGTCTACGTATTTAGGTGGCAGTAAGAAACAGGAGGAAAGAAAGCTATTTTTCCTATCTGTGAAATGTGAAATAGTTAAAGTATGAAGTATTTTCTAAGTTACTTTGTATCTGAAAACTCTGGCACATGCTTTTTTCTAGTGTTTTTCAATAGTCTCGACTGTGCATTATCAGACAGCAAGAAGCAGAAGTGGCAAGAGGGAATAAATTAACGAGTAAGTGTAGCAATAGCTAAGAAAAACTCAATCATCTCTTCTAATTGGCCCTCTGGCCCTATTGTTGCTATCAAAAATATTTTTTATAAGTGAAACTTCTTTTGATTGCTTTCTTTTTGGATTTTTGAAGTAAGTATTTATTTTTATAACTCAATGTCCTCCCTATGCAGACGGTTGGGAAAACAAGGCGAGCACTTCCCTGTAAAGGCAATCTAATTTACTGCTACCAAGGCAAAGCTCTTTGCGGAATGCCGGCTGCGGCAGGACAGACTAGTTGATTATTAAACCTGTGAAAAAGTGGGGAAGATGTAAAATTAAGCAGAAGTAGGTAAAAAACTGCAAATTGCAAATCCGGCTCGTCTGTTGAGGCTAAAGGCAAAAGGAAATTTGCAAAGCCTAAAGCTGTTAGCAATTTTAACTCGGTGCACTCCAGTGGGAACACTTAAAACAAACAACCAGAAGGAAAGAAGGGCATGTCAGGATTAACTATAACCTCATGAAAACCCAACAATCAGGACATTATAAACCCTGCAGGTCACAACTCAAGAAAGAGGCTATATCTCCATAATGAATAAGCCGTAAAAAGAGTACTGTGAGCTGCATTATCAAAGATAGAACAAGGGTGGTTAAAAGTCAGGTAAGGTTAAGATGAGGTAAAATGCAGTCGCTACTGATTTTCCAATTGCAACAAGTGACTTGTGTCACAGTGATTTCAAGCTGTCACACATCTTGAAATCTACTGTAGCTGATATGAAGGCAACCATTTGAGTTTCATTGAATACAGCGCCAAAAAATGACTATGAACTTGTAAAAATAACCCCCCCTTCTCTCTTCTCTTGCTCTCTCACTGCTTGCGTCTGCTATACACTTAGAGCGATCAGGCTCCGGGTTAAAACACACACACACACATATAACCCAGCAGGCATGTGCTATTCAGTTTTTTCTCTCCATTAAGGTAATCTCTAAAAGCTCAGAGGCACTGCTGTGCCAGGAGAGGAGAGTTAAAAGGGGTGAAAGTGACGGCTGGGCAGAGAGAGCAAGCCATCAGGAGAAGGTCAGCCTGCCTGTCTGAGCTGCTGGATGGAATAACAGGCCAAGGCAATCATAAGGCTCCAGACAGCCTCACATATAACTGACAGAGACAACTGTAATCTGTTGCGCCACACAAGGCGATGGGGGGGACGCCTACTTGATCATTAAAACATGTACAATACAAAGCAACACGCCCATCTTTTCACCTTTTGCCCTCCACTGTCTATCTATTATCTGTGCCTC